CATCGTTCCCTAGGAAGTAATTTTGTCCTTTTCCTTGGGTGGCAAAATTCATTTTTTTCCAGAGGCTTGAGCCAGCTTTGGACTAATTAAAAAGCCCTCTCAGTGTTCGAGGACAAGCTAAGACACACAACAATTTTCCCATGTATTCAAACTCATGTCCTATTTTTAATGAGTTTTGGACTCTTACATGAGAGCAGAAGATTACGCAGAAGTTTAATGTAGAGAACATGCTTCTATTTAAACTAAAGACAAACAACTATGCTTTAAAGGGAACACAAAATATTAAATAACATTGCTGATGAGTTATGATTCTCTTGAGAATAAAAAGCCAAAGTATGCAAGCGTGACTTTCCTATTTTTTAAACTAAGGAGCTTATGGGCATCTTTTCTATGTCAAGGCATTATCTATCCAATTAAATGAGCAAAAATACTCACGTATCTTCTTTTTCTTTTCAGGAATTAGAAGAATCAATAAAAACAAAGGAAAAAGAAGTAGAAAATGTAGAACAGAGTGGTCTTTCTTTGATACAAAACAAGAAGGAGGAAGTCTCTTCTGCCGTTATGAATACGCTGCAAGAAATTAACCATTCCTGGGCCAATTTGGATCACATGGTAAAAGAATCATCAAGGGGCAAATTATAGCTCCAGGAAGAGGGCATGGAGGAGACGGAGAATTAGCAGTTTGCAACTAGTGCATTTCTTCTGTATTGTAGGGGAAGAGATTCTGAATTGTGTCCCTGTTTCCATCTATCCCCAAGTTTGTGTGTACACTCCACATAAAATGGGTATAATATTTCCTATTTCAAGGATGCTTTTAATTCTTGTAGTTGAAGCTTTTTAGATGCTTCCTGGTATTTAGTGGAAAGGTACCAAATGATCTGTAAGGAACTACCTTTTCAAGTACGCAGGTGTCGCAGAATAAGGAAGAGATCAGCATTAACTGTCATCATCCAAAGCTTGATAACATCAGTCCACCTTCTCAGGAGGAATGCAGTGTGTTAGGGGTAGCCTCTCTGCTGCCTTTCAGAGGCTGACTTGCCTGCCTTAGGGATACGTGTTTCATAGTCTTAAGCCATTTCTTTTGATCCTGCTTTGGACCAAAGTAGAATGGACTTGATACCTTCTCAGTCTCTGCCATCCTAGCTTTATAAAATCAAGCAGAAGTTTATGCTGTACCCACTGTAAGCCCAGCTGATTGTTGCGCAAAATCTTCATTCTCCAACAGACTTAAGATTAGGCATATAGAACAACTCCTATCTGAGATCAAAAGGAAGGAAATAATTTAAACAAAAGCCAAATATCTTGAACGCTTTTCATTTACCTTTTTCTTTCTTCCTCCCTTCTCCTAGGTTAGCCAGCTGAAGATACTGTTGCAATCTGTTCTTGATCAGTGGAGCATTTACAAAGTGGCTTATGAAGAACTGAATAGTTACCTGACAGAAGCCAGATATTCTTTGTCCCGTTTTTATCTTCTTACTGGTTCTTTGGAAGCTGTGAAAGTCCAAGTTGATAACCTTCAGGTGAAAAGAATACCATGCCTCTTGACATGCTAAGGATGGGTTTAAGGATTACTTTTGTCCTTATTGCATGGATGCAGATAACTATACATTTTGGTTCATAAGAAATGGAAGTACAGACACACGGGCACATTAAAATCACATGATGTTAAGAGAACACATTATCAAATAGCCATTGCATTTTTCATTTTGCAGAAAAATAAAATGGTGATAGTTGTTTTCTTTTTAGATTTTTCTGTTCTTTAAATTTTGAGCCGTCAAATTGTTAAAAATTTTTAAATTGTGCTGGTGCCCATTAAAACTAAAGTTTCTTGCTCTGCTTTGGCAGGCTTCTGAGCTACTGGCACATGTTGAGATCATGTTAAACCTCCCACCTGCCTCAACCCTGTGGTTGCAGTAGATTGAAGATCAAAGAAAATAATGTTCCAAAAGCTGAGATACTCATATGTTCAAGTGGTTTTCTACTGCAAGAAAAGCATAAAATACAATGAGATTCCTGTTATAGAATTATAAATTAATATTAATTGCAGTAAATTAATTTAAATAATTAAATTTAAAAAT